GCAGGAATAACGAGCTGTGGAGCTGTCAGAGCCCAGCTTCAAAACACCTCGCCCAAGCGCTCGCCTATCAACAGAGTGACCTCCGGGGCATCTCCAGAGGCTGACACACCATCCGACAGCAACAGAAAATGGCTCTCGGCTCCCAGACTGTTTGGCATGAAAGCCGGGGGCTTCTGTGAGCAAAGCAGGGTGATTGCACAACCCACAGCCCTCCTCGTGCGAGAACTGGCTGCGAAACTCAGGGCGAGGAGCTGGCTTTGTGTGGAGATAAGGAGCAGATGCCCAAGCGAAGCTGTGATGAACCCACAGCGTGGTGCTGGGATGGAGGGGAGGCGAGAATGGCTCGTTTTGGGAATGCCATGATCCTTGCCAGGAAAAACAGTTTAATCACAGCTTTCTGGTTACTGAGTGATGCTGCCCAGTCACTCCTCACCTCTGCTCAGAGCAGGTATTACAATGCAAGGAGGTGTGAGCCTTCCCCAGGCTGTTAACCAGGCATGGGTGTTGCAGCATGGGCAGGGGACTCCTGGGCCCTGAAGCCCTGCAAAACATCACCTACCATGGAGACATTTGCTCTCAGTGGAACAGCTTAAGCAAGTTTCCTGGTCTCGAGTCTTGCCGCTTGTTTTCAGACGTTGGCTGGTTTTATCAAACTGGGCTGCAATCAGTGCAGCAGCCGCAGGGAAGCCCTCCCCAGACCTCGCTGTCTGTGAGGAATTGCCCAATCTCTTTTATAAAAAGTTATTAATGACTGCTTGCTTTTCTTTTCCGACTTCTCAAACTTCCTAGTCATCAGTGGCTTTGCAAATAGATGGGCACACCATATAAATTGTTATTTGAGTGTGTGGGAGGGGTGGAGGGTACTGAACAACGTATGGCACGGAAGATAGAGCAGTACTGGTCCTTGGTGCATTGTCTTGCCTTTCATCCCGGGACACGGCAGCGTTCTGCGGAGAAGTCTCGTGGAGCCCTCTTGAGGCAAGCGGGCATTATTGTCTGTATCTTTGGGATGAGGAAATCAAGGTTGCAAGGTGCCAGGCTGGAGCCAAAGTCCGTTGGGTTTTACTGCCGGCTGTTGTCATAGCCACAGGGCAAGGGGACACGTGTGCCATGGCAGCGCTTCGGTGGCACCCTTTGACAGGACAGGAAGGTGATCTGTGTCCATACTGCTGCCATCCCGCGGCAGATGGATGAGAGAGACCTGTCCATATCCAAATCTGCTCAAGGCTTCAATGTGTGATTTTATGGGAGTTTGAAGCTTACAGCAGTCTGCTCACATGGTTCCTCCGGCTGCTCTTGGCTAACGTAGCTAGCACCACTCCATTTAATGCACGTAGCCCACGTCAGACCCTTTTAGTCAAGGATCCTGTCCTGTGGCTAAGGGCACGGCGGCTGTAGCAGCTAGGTGACTCACGGGAAAGACGAGGAGATGCTGGAACTGCTTTGCACAGAGCTGTCCTTTAGCAGTCCTGCTCTTCTCAGAGGCAGATTGGAGATTTCACGGCAGCACAGCCGGTTTGCAGCAGGAGATCCAGTAGCAGGAGACAGCTGATGATGGGAAGCGAGTTTCTTTGGGACTTCAGTCATTAGCGGCAATCGGATCCTCCCGCACAGCGCATCTGCAGGGTTAACAGCCAGCTCTGGCTCCAACTGCTGCCTTGTACATGGCTGGTAATTAGGAGGTTACAGGATGCTGTTAGTTAGCAGCAGCACAACTTGTATTTCAAAGGTTAATTGGCTGGTATGGAGTGCTCTTTTTTTTTTTTTTTAACCTCCTCTCATGCTTTATTTATTTATTTGTCTATGTCCAGCACAAATAAGCACTCCCACAGATAAGGAAAGCCAAGTACAAAGAAGAAGGTAATCCTTTACATTAATCTTGCAGGCAATTTCAGTAAGTTGGATGATTTTGTTAGGCATTCATTGCAGCTGACAATCCTCCAGAGTATCTGAGCGTGTGCCATGGCACTGCAGCAACCAAGCAGGAACAGCGCACTCCAAAAGCACAACCTCTGCCATGCCTTTGGGGCAGTGGGGAGGGATGTCTGGCACAGGCGGGTCCTGTTCCAGGAGCTGTGTTTCCAAGTGCCTCTCTGCTACCGAAAGCAGAAATACCTTTTTGTCCCAGAGTCAGCTCCTGTGCGTGCTTCACTGACTGATCTGAAGAAATAACGCTGCTTTTTTGGTCTGCCTCGATTCCCAGCTCTGTCCAGTAGGACAGAGTCATGTTCATTTGTCCAAGAGAGATGCTGGTTGTTGTCTGTGCAGAAGGGTGAGCTCTGAATTCATCTCTGAGGACTCTGTTTTAAGTTGCAAAGAGAGACCCCCCGCTTGGCTTCCCAGAGGAATTTGCAGAAGTAGTTGTTGATACTTGTAATGATTCCACATAAAAGACTCAATTTACATCAAATGGCACTAGAAATGCTACTTTATATTCACTTCTCAGAAGAGAAGTACAAATTAGTATTTGTTCCAAGCTATTGCTGTTCAAAGAGCTTTTAATTGCTTTTCTGATCCCTCATCCGTGGCATGTTTCGTTCGGAGCAGCTGTCTTTGGAGCAGGTTGGAGCTGACCTTGGTGGGCAGCCAGTGGTCCATTGCTTATCAGCGCAAGAGAAGTATTGGGTTTGAGTAGCACATTTTATTATTCTGGAGTAAAAGTAATTCTGTGTGATTTAAGGTAGCAACTAGCTTCTCTAGTGACATTCTATTTTAGCATTTGTCAATTTTGGCTTGAAAAATTGGTTTGGCCTGGAAAGCCCAGCACTTAGTCAGAAAGCAGAGGAGAATCTTTCAGTGGTGTTTGAAGCAAATTGCTTAAATTCCTTTTGAGTTGTGAGTCAATAAAATGATATCCTGGTCTGGGATTCTCCCTTTCAGCTAGCAAAAATTTGTTCACTCTTCCAACTTTTTGCATGATCCAATTTTAAGAACTCACACACTGGCTGGACTTGAAGCAAATAGATTTCCCCAGATTTTCCAAACAGATTTTCTTTGTAGTGCTCTCCAGACCACCTTTATCCAGGCCTTCTTTTCTGCAGACAGCCACTCTGTCAGGACATTAGCAAACCTGGTGACAGTTTGGGGAGCCTCTCTGCACAGTGCAGGCTGTAAGGCTTCTGATCGGAGGCAGCAGCAGCCCATATGTGGAGCATTTACACCTGGCAAGGTGTCATT